ATGAATTCATATTACCGCTGTAGAACCATAACATGCATTTTAACGGTTTGGAGGTAATCAGCAGGAAACCCTGCTTAACCTGGGTTTCGTGCTCTTTGGCAATCGTCAAAGAGGCGTTTATGCGACCTCGAAGGAACTGATGTCGCCACAGGGATCTGAAATTTCACGTCACCCAGTGGTTCAGTCAGAGGCGTTACCACTCAGTTATCTGGAACGTGACTGGCTTCGTTAGTGAAGCATTCAAAAACTTTCTAAAAATGTATTTTATATGACTTATTTTTCATGAGTCAACTTGATAACTGGCAATTTTTTCTTGAAGAAAGTATTAGTAGCCCATTGCATATAAGTTTAGCCTTCAGGTAATGAGTTATATTTGTGCAATTAAGCGAATCCTAAGCGATTATTTTTGAAAAATTCAGTCTCCTTGTGGGAATCAATTCCCATTAGTCCGCCAAGTTTCTTCTACAATAATTCGCTAGTATTCCACTACATTATCGACTGACGAGGTTGTCAACTTAACTTTGATATTTTATCCTTGGACTTCTTAAGTGCATTTAGCATACAGTCAAAAACTAGGTTGTAAAACCCATTGTTTAACTAACTTAGTACACTGCGTCTAGGATTAAAGTCGATCAGCTAATGCTCTGGATGTCATAAAGGCTTCTTACCAATCAAATCAAATAAGTATGCCAATGTAAGAATGAAATATTTGCTGCCAGAATTCTTTTTATTCGGATCATAATAGTTGATAGATGAAAAACCCTTTATACAATGAGAAGAAATTTACAGGAATCAAACCAGTACCAAGATCAACTGAAAGACCTCTTTGAGTGAATATTATTCATCTGATCTCTGCGGTGTGATTTATTTAAGCCACAATAAACATATCGTTTTGTGCCATCACTCTTAAAACAAATAAAGTCTACTTGAAAAGAATAACAAACAGTCTTGACTGTTATCTTCTAGTACTTATAACTTGCTTCTTCATGATAAAATGATATCCAGTTTATTTTCTTATCTATTCAGCTAAATGAAATCAGCAGGGTAAGAATTTTCGAAAAACTTAATCATATGTTTGATTGGTTATATTAAAAATACCTTATCTAAAGGCTTCAACCAGTGATGTCTTATCAGCCTCACACTTTCATGTGTCCATTCCATCTACGAAACTAGAATAACTTTTTGTATGGGAAAGTTTAGTTGGAGTTTTGTTTAGGTCCTTATATTCAGGAACGTGGTAATACATGTGTGTACTGTAAGTTTCACGTTTAACTGTCGACATTTGTTTATCTAATGATCTAAAACTGTCCAAATCAATATGGTGACTAACATATAATACTGGGTCTCGAGAAAATATTTGGTGTCGGTCAACAGTCTTTGTTCTATCATTCGAAATGTGAAGTTAAACAACCCTCCTAACGTGCCGATTCCGGAGTGTAGAATAAGATTCAGCGACAGCGCTAAACGTCAGCACCGTCCACAAAATGCTTAATATATTGTACTTAGTTTCTTTATTCACTACTGGGAAAACACGTTAGATCACACTTCCGAACATTCCATAATTTGTTTATAATCACCTAAAGACAAGCAAAGTGCAAAAACATGAGATATCTCAGCTTTTTATACAGTAGAGAAACTTTGAGCTCGGAATGAGAAGGATAGTTCTTTGATATTCTGGGAGCTTTAACAATTACTTCGGATTAAATGATTTCATCAGAGCTTATTTAACAAAGAAGTGAAACAGATTCAAGTCATAAGAGTGAGTGATCATGCAGGATATTTGTCAACCTGCAGTGTTATTGTTTTGTGGATATGGATGATTATTCCTTCCACAGTCACGTGTTGCCCATTTCAACTATTGAGACAACTTGACGTATATTTGTAACCAGCAACTGATTATTGATTCGCTTGTTTGATTTCCAGTTGGTTGACCTCCTTTTGGGAGCCAATATATATGTGGTTTATGAGTACTTGCCCATTCACTGTGATTTTACTGGAATGACATACTCGCAGAAATTCTGTTGTTATTTTTGAGCTTATATCTTGTGTTATTTCGCCGTTGCGTCAATCGGAGTTGTGGTTGTGCTTGTCTACATGGACCGACACCAATGGTGTATTAAATATCATATTGTTTTCAATCAGATCCTCTTCAGGCTTTGCTCTATTACAAATAGCTTAATACGTTAAAAAATCATGCAGATTCATCGGTTAATGTGATAAACGTTTTAAAATAATTATCATTTAACAATCTGAGATAGCCGTAGTTTGGCAGACTAGCATTAATACTGGGTGATGATTGATGGTGAAGTAAAAATTTGGACCACAGCCGGATTCAAACCAGCAACCACTGAGTTCCCGGCCCGACTCTCTACCATCTGAGCTACGAGGTTTTAAAATAACGATGGTGAAAATACAAATAGTAAAACTGATAACGTTGACGTTGATATGCATGATAATGATCATAGGGACCAAGAAATGAGCATGAAAATGTAGACACTCCGATGATAAAATTAGGTCAGAAGCTTGGGGAAACAAAAGCTACGTAATACTTAAGGACGAGGTAAGCGAATCAATGAAGTCTAAACAAATATAGTAGGTATATGAAAAGGGTCAATAATAAGAAAGGGGTAGAAAAAAAATTCAACTACGAAGTTATTAATTAAGTATTCCCTGGCTAAGGGGTGTACAAACTTCTTCGGGATACAGAGACTGGGATTATTAGCTGGAATTTCTCCAACTTCTGCTATATGTAAAAGCCAAGCTTTAATAAGGGAAACAGGTCATGATTTCCATCAGTAATAGATATCGTATGAATGCTGGCTAATCGTTAATGTGCTCAAGATTTCTATCCTCTTCTTAAGTGAATGCTTTGAAGTTTAAGTTCACTAGGTGACCTGCTTAAATTCTGAGCTACTAAAAGCTTTTCACTGGATATATTTCAACAGGTTCTTCTCTTTCAGTTTATTTTAATTTTTGATTGTCTTCTAGATGTATCATTTACTCTCGCAAATTTTTCAAATGTTTTCAAACTGTCATTTCTTAAGCTAAGAACGAAACGAACAAAAATATTATATCGAAAGAAAATGGATGTATTAATGCCCAAAAACACCGCAGTGTTTTGTTCATAGGATAACTATATCGAATTGGATAATTTTTTGCTACCTGACTGAACTACCACCATCGTAATTATACTCGACTTTGTAATACTAGCTGCCCGTTTCACATTACATTCCTTAATACCGTTAGTACTATCACTATTCAGATGCAATAATTATTTCTTTTAAAAACATTGTTCGGATGATAGCAATTATAAACGCTTATCATGGACCTTATTGTGTAACCCTTGACTCATCTGAAAGACTTATACTAGTTAATACTACCACTGTGGAAATCTTCTGCACTCAGCATAAAGCGTGAACAAGATTCGGATTTTCAACACAAATGTCAAGTCAGTGCTTCTGTATAGCTCAGAGACTTGGCGCGTTACGGAAGGCATTTCCAACAAACTACAGATATTCATCAACAGCTACCGCCTACGCTCATTACTGAAGCTCAGATGTCCAGTAATAATACACAACAAAGAACTCTAACCCTGCAACTAACCAACCAAGAACCTATTACCCAAAAAAATAAGCAGAAGGAAGTAGAGATGGATTGGGCATATACTGAGATGGTCATTCGGGGACATCACCTGCCAGGCTCTCAAGTGAAACCCTAAAGGGAAACGACGAGTTGGGTGTCCGAGGTGAGAGTGACATGGAGGAGATGGTGTAAGGAAGAAATGAAAGGTTGTGGGGAGTGGTGGAGCCAGGTTTTGAAGATTGTAGAGAAGAGAGTGTAATGGAGACTTGCTACTGAAGCGGTAATGTGCGGCTATGAACCCAAGGGTCAAATAATAATAATAATAATAATACCATTGGCTTTCATTCCAAGAGAAATTGATTGTCAGTTTATATGTAGTGAGATAAGGCCTCAATAAAGTTGAGATTAGGTTTCGTATTCTGACCAATCTTAACCGATTAGAAGTCCAAGAAAAACTAAGGCAGTAGTAAGATTGATAGTATTTATGTCAATTTAGTCACGACGAAAGCTTTATTGGTGTATCTACAGATGACGCTGAGTTCTTAAAGTATTTTATAGAAGCGTTTGTTATTCGGTTTCGAGATTTACTCAATGAGATACTCCTGGCACTAAGAAAATCTATCAAATGTTCAAAGGATGCTGATGAAGGGATCGAGTTATAAGACTGTCTGACTGACTGGTAAAATCAACGTAGAACCTCACTGAAGTTAAGCATCGGATAAATATAAACCCTAGGATTTTGGACACAATATTAGTGAAACCAATTCCTCTGCGGTTGTCACTGGAAGACTTCCCTCCCTTCTTACAGAGTGGAGTGACCAGTGAAGTAGACCAGTCTGATGGCATTACTTCTGATTTCTAAACACTATTTGGTACCTCTGCCACTTTAATTAGAAATTTCTTTCTTGATAACTTGGGATAGCAAATTATCAGGTCCTGCTGCAGTGCATCATTTCAGGTTCGACACAGCTTTATTAACTTCAAAGAGAATTGGAGGACGAACATCTATGTCCCATTTAGGTTCAGGTTGGATGCTGAGCAACTGAAAGCTCACTGAAAACCAGTCGAACCATTCTGCGGGTTACGAGGCCTTAGAAATCAACTTAAGCGTCAACAACATGATTAGTCTTCACTTTTTAGTACTAATAATTGTTTGATTAACACTGATATGGAATCAAAGCTGGCTAGTAATTTAAAAAAAGTCATAACATGATGTAGCAAGGGGTATAGTACAGCCTCGAATGAGAATAAACATGCAGTATCTAAAATAGGAAGGGATAAGTTCTAGTTCCGTAAACCTTCTAGTGTTAGAGATTTATACTATGAAGACTAAAATTTGGTGAGTCAACGTCACTGAGTGAAACAACAGCTATATTTCGATTATTATGGATGAAGAAGGTCAACTGAAAGAGACTTACATGAAACGTTATACCGTACACTGTCAGACCGAGCTATGGTTTCTGTGATTCCAGTACTTGCAACTTCACAGAAAAAAGAAGCTCCATTATCTTCTTCGCTTAGGGTGACTGCAAACTCCTGAACTACTTCTTTACGTGAGTTTACAGGGGGATTTCTTTGAATAGTTCGCATTGTTTTCGTCTGAATAACTGTTGCTTTTGATTCTTCAAATCTTTGACGTAAAAGTGATAACCTCGGTGGGGGATTACCAGGTTCTGCTGTACATTTGATCTCGAGTACAGTACCAACTTGAACCAAATTATCTGGAGATATATTTGCATTCAACCGAACAGATTTAGATGGATCTGTAAAGCAAAACAAGTGAACAGTTTTCAAAGCAAACTAGGATTCTTGTTTTCTATTATTTCTCAGCTTTATATAGCACACATTCAAGCTTTTAGATATTGGATGTTACATGATATCGGTGGTGAATTCGTCCTAAAATTTGGCTTCGATAACAAATGATGACAGGAAGTCTGGAAGAAGAAGTTATTTCTCATTTCAGAAGCAGCAGTTATATAATGCACATCATATACAGTTTGATGATTATTGATAAGGATTAGTCTGCACAAAAAACAAGGGTATTCAAACATCTGGTATTCATTCCTCAACGGCAGATTCCTCACTCTTTTATTTTCTAATTGAAAGAAATATACTTAGCTGAAAAGATTCTCATGGAAAAATAAACCAGTCAGTAACATAACCTTTTTCTCAGGTGTTATGCATCTGTTTAAGTAGAAATTCTGGTCTGCAGTATGAAGGAGTTTAGAATTGCTGTCAATATTGATAAAAATCTTATAAGCAAATAAAACAGTTTACATGAATTTGTATTTTCTTAATTCTCTGTTGCTGTTAAACTTAGTTAAGAAACTTTGGTTCTTTCATCTATAACAATTTGCCTGTTATTAACGAAGGCTTTAGAGTTATGTGAAGCCAAACATACTAGGGGAACCTAAAAGGGCATTTGAACCTATGCATGTTACTAAACTGATACTTAATAGCAGTTACTTGTATGGTTAACTCATTAACTTCAGTTCCTAATGGTTAAATGGTAAGATTACAATCGCTGTTGGGAGCAGAAACATAACACCGCAAAGTGTTAAAAAAAAGTGGAAATGACAATTTCTCATCTCAAGTGAATATATGTTTTAAAGAACTTGCGAAGCATCAGTCAGTAATAAATTAGATGATAAAACGGCGTAGATAGATTCCGGTTTTCAGTCTCATGGGTAGTCAGAAGACTTTATTTTATATGGTGGTGAAGACGAAACAGGAAGCTGTCATTTCACCCTTGATCAAACCAAGAATTTGGGTCCAGTATATGGACGGTACTCTTGTTGTCATTAAGAAAGATGAGTTAGAAAACATTTACAATTTAATTAACAAAGTATACAGTCACATCGAATTCACAATGGAGGAGTCTAACAACTAAATGTCATTCTCAGATTCTTTGGTCAGTGGGACCACCGCCGAAAAACTGGAAACTCAAGTGCACAGGAAGTCAGTGCACACTGGTCAAATCCTCATCTGTGGTAGCAACAACCCAACAGCGCGCAGCTCTACTTGCCTATAGACTCTATTCAAAAGAGCGAGAACATACTGCAGTACAACAACGTCAAGGAGGAAAGAAGAAAAGTACTTGATGTCTGTCGCAAGGAAGAACGGCTACCCACGAAACTGTATCAAAAGATGCCTACCCCATACATCATCAACTACAAAGTCATCGACAGAAATCAACAAATGCATCACTCTACCATACATAAAGAATATATCAGAAATCACAACAAGATTACTGAGACTACTTGGAATTAGTGTGGCTCATAAACCGACAAATTCCATCCAAACACTGTTATGCAGACCAGAATATGCAACAAGCAAAGAAGACAAACAGAATATCATTCACAAAATCAACTGCAATAACTGTAGTTAACACTACATTGGACAAAGTGATCACCCTCTTCACCTTCGTCTACATGAACACCAATTGGCCATTAAACCTCATGACATTTCATCACTCATTTCATTGTATATGGTTAATTGTGGACATGAATTGGATTTCAAGAATGTAGAAATTTTGGACGGAGAGAGGAAATACAAAAAATATCAGGGAATTCCTAGAGGTTTGGCATTCAGGTCAGTCAGTCAGCAATCAACAGATGTATAGACATAGACCCAATCTATCAATCAATGAGAAAAATGATAAACGACAGAAAGGTCAGAGGACAAGAAGAGGAACAGTCAAGAAGAAAATCTATGTGGTTAATGACACAACAACCAAAGCGAACAGTTACAAGCTACTTCATCAGGACAAGCTGCTAAGTCACTCGTGGAGAGATACTGATAGCTCATTTCGTAGTGAAGTTAGTGCTGATGATGTTGGTGTCTAGCAAGACGATGAAAGCTTCATGATTAAACAACACAGCTCAGAGAACACAAGACAACCAAACGGATGGGTAAGGATCTATTGGCCATGAGAAATTACTGTAGTGTCTTCCTCCCAAACTTCAATTGCTGGAGGTATGAACTTTTCCTTCTAGACATAGAGGAATCAAATATAAATATAAAAATCACCGATCGACTTCAGATAGATATTCCTTGAGTCCTGCGGTCATGTACTAATATTACTAGTGTAATTTCTTCTTCTGTTCCCCTGAGGAAAGGTAATTTTGGATGGTGTGGGAAGTGACGAGTTAATAATCACCATCATACTGTTGTAAGTTCTCGTATCCCTTGTGATCACCACCAACTTTCTAGATATCGTTGCTTTTCAATCTCCCTTCACATTTTTCAGTTATTATTTGAATATTATCTTTGAGTTACGCAGACAGTAGAAATGATTCGAGTTATAAATCAAATAGATAAATCTAATATGGAAGAATAATATTCTGTCCTCCTGAAAATATAATTTCTATATCCTCACCACTCGTTAATCATAAGTTTATTTATCAGTTAATTTCACTAATCGTATCTATAAGACTAAATTAAGACCCAGGTAAATAGGATGATCAATTTAGAAGTGATTTGCAAAGTGTATGGTCCACGTCGATATTTATCACAGCTGAGTAGTTTTTTAAATTTCCAACTAAACTCACTTATTCAAGATCATAATATGTGACCTCTGACATAAAAGTGTCATGAAGTGTCTATATCGACTATGAAATTTGTAAATCATTCACAAACTGATCATTCATTTTATTTTAGGTGTACAGGTCCATGCAAATCAGCTAACCAGACTCAAGTGACTTGGATTACTTCGTCTGTCTGAGCTGAATTTATTTAGGTACATCGCTGGTGAACTTGATCCCGAATGAGCTCAATAGTCATCCGGTATCTAGATGACTCAGATTTGGCTGTCTATCGAAATCTATAAACTAATGTAAAAGGTTTATAACTATTCAACAATTAAAAGTAAATTAAACTTTAACAATGATTACACTGTATAGTACAAACAGTTTCTACGTGTAGGAAAAGATTTTGATCTGAATAACGTTGTCTCAGTAAAGAAACTTTGGGAACAAATTTATTCATAGATATTCAGGAAAAATGATCTCAGTATATAAATATTTTTTCACCGAAATGCTCATCGTTATGAATGTCTAAGTTAAAATTTCAAATTCTGTGAAATATATTTCAAATCTGTTTGCTTTACGAATATGATATTTTATATTTTAATAGACTGTGTCATAAAAATGTAACTTTTATTGCTGATTCTAAAATTTCTATGAATAACCACTTACAGTGAGCATCAAAATCAGTTTGTCTTTTAGTACGACGTCTATATGCATCTGTCATTTGACATTCGATGCGTATATCATTGTCACTAGTGCTGTTGGGTAGATTTTTTCCGGATGTTGAAGGATTCATCTTTGTTCCAACATACCATACAGTTTCAAAATCCATTACTTCTTCATTTCTAAGAAGTGAATTCTTCATTCGTAATACGGTAAAATTATCAGCATTTATAGGAGTGACAGTATCACATATAACTGGAATCGGTGTATCGAGGGTAAACGGAGTATAATCAGCAGATAAGTTTTTGAGGCACGATGAATCTGAAAAAGCCATAAAACATCCTTAATGAAATGAAGAAAAACAATCGCATTATATAGAATGAAACTGAATAATTCTGTTTTATGTCACAACCACTGAAAAATGCTATCACCATGTATAGTTAGAGTAGTCATTGAGAAATTTCACTCAGGATACTAATGTTCCAACTTCACCAGTTTTCTGGTTTTTGACATCACCTAATCTGAAGTGATCGAATGAATAATAATAAGAAATACGTTAACGATATTTGTTCTATGAGACACTTGAACTGGATGTGAATAGCAACTTTTCTGTCTCAGAACCGTATACTTCACTCAGCTGCGAAAATCAGAAGACAAAGACCTGACTATGACTGTAAGGAAAACACTTCATTTGACAAAAGCACATCTTTTATGAACAGTTTTTATGAACATATAAAACAACTAGGTCAAAAGTTGGATATATTATTTAGACTGGTCAAATGCGGGATAATTTGTTCAAGTAGTGTTTTCTTGACGACACAATAACCTGAAAGAGAAGTTGAAGTCTGAAACTTCTACCTTAGTGGCTAGTGACATAAAATGTTGATTTTCGTCTAGGCCACTTCCTATAGTAATTTTAACTTATCATCCCTCATGTATGAATTTAAATGATTTTTTGGAGTAAATTACATAAAGCAGATCTGTCTCTGAGTATTAGAATATTTCCCAGAACGGTAAAATAAAGGATGAAGTTCAACCGAATAAAAATTACATACCTGCACAAATCAGAGATTCACGGTGCCCATTAGATAAGAATAAAATGTCTTTCTGCTCTGATAAACCATTTTCAGAAATACTGACATGTGAGAGTGAAGCTGTAGCAATGTGACCAACAAAACCATAAACTAGCATGTATAGAGAAGATGGGGCCCTTGGTCACCTTCATATGTGTTAATCTACATGCCAATGCCTGCCTGTGCATCAGAAGTATACAGAGGGGCATATTTTATTTTTAGTCTGTTCAATTTTAACTATTACAGTTAACATTTCTAGTTTTTTATATCCGAATTTGACCCGCCAGATTTGATTTCCTAGGTAATATTCACAGATATCTGTGCTTGAAAAATGACTGTTAGGATTGAGATACACTCTGAGCAGAGATTGTGCATTTGAAAAGTTTCAATGGTATACTATTAATTACGGTTGGAAAACATGAACAATTTTGGTTTCTAGTAACAAATTATACTGTAATGTTCTCAACAGCTAGCAGTTGATTGACTGATGGAACTCATTATCCTCTTACTTGATCCGTTTGTTTTCAGCTACATCATCTGAAAATATTGTCTGAGTCCTATCATCGATTAAAGTAACATTGTTAGCTTGATTACGGTTGATTGAAATTACCAAAACTTAACCTGTCTATAAGATTTCATTTCATTCCGTCTAGCCGGATTAAGTATTTACGTTTTTATGATGACTTCTTTCATTCATAGTTTTGTTCGGCAAGTTATCTAACATGTTCTATCTTCTGGTTGTGTTAAGTTATGATCTAAACCTGGGCACTTTCACATATAATAATAAACTCTCCTGTCCACCCCAAGCAAATATTATGCCACATCATCCTGGATTGAAAACAACCACGAGAACAGGATGGATTCAGGTAGTAAACATCATGTGTGGACCAAATTGCAACGCTTCGATTCATCATAGGACAGAGCATAGAATGCCTAACAACCCTCTACCTCAACTTCGTCGACTTTGAAAAGGCCAGCCTTCGAAAGCGTCAACCAAGAAGTAATTTGACAACTGCTCACACATTATGGAATACCACAAACCATTATCAGTCTCATTCAACAACTATGTGAAGACGCCACATGCCAAGTAATTCACAATGGAAGCTCAGTGATGCCTTCGAAGAGAAGTGAAGAAAAAATGGAGTGAGACAAGGAGGCTGTATATCATCACCCATCATATTTCTAATTCTGGTGGACTGGATCATGCAGCAGACAACAGTGAGGAGTGAGAAGAGGGGGATACACTAGCAGGACCGATGAAAAGGACCTAGAAGATTTGGATTTCGCCAACAATCACTTGTGTCTAATGTCACTCAAACTTCAAGATCTACACGCGAAAACTAACAAGTTGACAGAAGAGGTGAAACAGGGCAGCGAAAACAGGACTTCAAATGAATGTAAATAAGACAGAGGTGATGAAGATACCCAACAACAACACCACCACAACCACCACAACCACCACCAACAAGCTGCAATCACCATCAGTGGGAGAAACCTAAAGGAAGTAGCCTCCTTCACATATCTAGACAGCACAGTCTCAACTACAGGCCGTGATGCCACAGACGAGGACGTCAAAGTCAGAATCGGAAAAACAGCGAGACAGGCGTTTACTAACCCCGAAACCAGTGTGGAGATCTACTGCACTGCATTACACTGCACTGCACTGCACTCAGCCAGCATGAAGCGTGAACAACATCCAGATTCTCAACACCAACGTCGGTCAAGTCAAGTCAGTGCTTGTGTGTGATGGTTGAGAGACTTGGCGTGTTACGAAAGGGATTTGAAAGAAACTACAGACATTCATCAACAATTGCCACCTACGCTGACTCGATAGTGACACTGAAGCTGAGATGGCGAGAATAATAAGAATAAGCAGGGAGGAAGTGTGTCTGGTTGGCTGGCTGTCTGTCTGGCTGACTGGTTGGCAGGTGACGAAGCAACCAAGAAGCTGTCGTTGAACAAATATGCATTGGAAGGGAGTGGAGATGGATTGGATTGTGCATGCACTGAGAATGTCGATTGGGGACATGACTCGCCAGACCAGTTCCTCGAGTGGAAACTAGATGGGAAGTGATGAGTTGGGCGTCGGAGGTGAGTGTGACGTGGATGAGATGGTGTGAGGAAGAAATGAGAGGTTGTGAGGAGTGGTGGAGTGGTGAAGTCAGGTTTTGAATATTGAGGAGGAGAGAGTGTAATGGAGACTTGCTACTGAGTCGGTATGTTCCATTAGGAATCCAAGGGATAAACAATAATAATAACATGGTCTTTCCGTCCAAAGACTAGTCAATAAACCAACACAACCTTCACAAATTGAAGAATCCTCTAGAAATCATCGTATTTTCAGTATCTGTTGTATGAAAATCAGATGATGTCTAAATATTTTCGTCTACAGATTCCAGTATCTGCTGATAAAATCAAATGACCAATGGACTATGTCATTAGGCTCTAAAAGAAGAAATTCAGGGAACTATCCAAAAGTTAATTACGATGGGGCATACAATCAAACAACTGAAGTATAAACTAATTTAGATAATAAGCAATAGAGATTATAAAATTCTCATAGAAAAATCAGCTGCTTTCAAGAGATGCATAAACAGTCATATCAAAAAGTTCAACAAATTAATGCATGAGAAATATCCCTCTATAAATAATCAAGTTACAAATAAAACATCATTAAACACTGATAGATCAAACTGGTTAGTTATTCCCTTCTCGAAAGTCTTAAGCTCAGCTGAAAAGAAAGAACTTGAAAAGGACTAAACTTCAACGTGATAGGAAGCCATATAAACTCTGAAGATGTGACATTAAGCTAAGTTGATCCAGCATAATGTGCATTAGCACTGGAAAAACACAGAAAAATACACAGTAAAGCTTAACCAAACTAGGAAACATACTGTTAAAAAATCACCTGCTAATATATCACTCGTGTTGTCTACGGCTATAAAATTTTCTCAATTAAAATCATCTAACTAAATAATAATCATCATCATCATTATCAACATAGGACCAGGCATTACTGCGTAACGGTCCGAGTTGCCACACCTCATATCAGCACATCAAGTAAAAAGGTAGTGAGGTGAAGGATGAAGATAAGTGAATGCAGTCAAAAGAAATATAAAGTATGAGAAGAAAGGAAAGAGGAGTGACAAAAAATAGTGAGATTCGGTATAGCGTTGTTAAGATGAGGATAATGTGTGTATACATCTGCGCCACTGACTTCGGTTCTGAGCCATATCACCTAGGGTCTCCAACCACTGGTTCCTCTTGTCCCGTGGACCCCAACCACCTAGTCTGCATCGTCCTACATGGCTTAAACCAACAGTCAGAGACTTCATACATTGGTGCCATGTTTTAGTCTGGCCACCTCGGGCCTTTTTCCAGCCTGAACCCACCTCAGCCAACATTGTGTGACGAGGCAATCGGTGACTAGGCATACGTAGTACGTGTCCCAACCATCTCAGACGATGAAGGTTCACAACCTCGTCGACTGACTTACCTCTTCTCCCTAAAACTCTACACCTAACTTCTGCATTACTCACATGGTGACACCACGGAATACGTCTAACTAAATAATATACAAGGAAATCAAATAAATCATAAGATAATTTCTAACTTCAGTTTATTATTCACAAGTTAAGGTTATTCCTGAGGTATCAGACTTCTCAATAATTCATTAATATTTATTATCATTTCATACATTAGTGTACATAATTATCTAACAACTGTTTTCTACTGTTAAAGCCTACTGAGATGTTCACACTCATTAAAACGTATTTCTCTTAAATTTTTTGGCATGTTTTGTATTCTCAAAAAGAAATCAAGTCTATTTAATAAGATATTTTTATCATTCTTATGGAAACAGTAAAAAAAAATAGCTCAGATTGTATAGAAAATGAAGTTTTTCAATATAACTAATGAATGACTATTTACTACTTTGTTTTATAGACTTTCAGAAATTTTTTAGTATATTTTCGTTTATCCCTTAGATGGTGTTAGTATTGGCTATATAGTCAATATATGCTTAGTACAATTTTTCTTCATAGTTTTTAAAAGTTACTACAGACATTACTGATGTACATTTTTTTTTTCGATGCATAGGCTGATACACATAAAAGTGTCGACATGTATACTGATTTAATCAGAAGTAGACATTTAACATAAAAGTAGTTTTTTCTAATTGTTCTTATTATTTTTCAAGAAAAAATTTTCCAGAGAAAAAAAGATTACTGTCAGTGTACTGTAAGATTT